AGTGGATTTGAACCACCAACTTTTAGGGTTAGTAGACAAATGCTTAGCTGTTTACACTACCCATAGATTCTGGTTTCAGCCCTACCCCCCTCTTTATCCACCATCAACCTCTTAGATCTTCCAGCATCTGTCACAGCGCCAAACCTGAGAGCAATGACAGAAATGGACCAGGTGCCCAAGCCCTGGCCTCTGGGGGTTAGTGACTCATCCTCTGCTTAGCAGAGAGAACAACTCCAGTCGACCGAGCAGCAGCCAGCCTTGTTTGACATGGGGTAACTCGTTTCAACCTCACACACATCTGTGGGGGAAGGACTACTACCACTCCATCTAACAGGCGAGGCCAGAGGGGCTCTGAGAGAGGAGGGAAACATCTTTCCCAGGGCTGCTTGGGGCAAGGACAACTCTGGAGTCCCAGGAGTCTGGCTCAAGAGATGGTGCTCTTAGCTGCGACTCTCCAGCACCATGTTTGGAAAGTGAAGCTCGGATAGCTCATGAGACCTAGATTCCAGAGCAAGAAGCCTAGGCGGTCACAGTCAGACAGAGAACGGGAAGAAGAAGGCAGGCCCTGCGGCCAGCGAGCACCACACTCAGCAGGGCCCAGCGTGCAGTCCCCGGGGTCCTCTCATTCACACCACTGCTACGCTGTTGCCGTTAAGTGCCCTTGAGCCAACCCTGTGTTGGGTTTCCGAGAAGCGGCTAGTGGGTTTGAACTGCCAACCTGGTGGTTAGTACTTCAAGGCTTTTCCTACAGCACCACATCAGGACATAATTTTTTCCATTTTATGGAAGAGTAAACTGGGGGTTACATCCTGTCCACATCTAGGACTCATATGCCACGTTGCTCCTGATGACCCAGAGACGCATGGCAAGGGGGCACCATAGGCACAAGACTTAGGAGATCTTTACACCCTCTGGACTTCAGTTTCCTCATCTACGTAATGGAAATAATGAGACTTGCTCTTTCACTGAAGGCGACATGTACCACTTGGGGGAGAAAGCTGAGATGTTATAAGAAGCAAAGACCGAGGAGGTCAGGTGAGGGGAGAGGAAGAGGAGAAGCAGAGAAATGGGGGGCCTGCGTGGCAGCAGAGGGGGCAGGTCACTTTGTGGAATGTGAGGATCTGCTCAGGGGAGCCAGATGCCCGGCGAGTGGCGCTATGCTGGACAGACGGCACCCCTCATTGCTGGACTCACCCAGAATCGACTTTGCTGGGTTCAGCTAGACTCACATGGGCTAACAAGACCCTGATCCTCCAGGCTTAAGGAAGCTCAGTGCATTCTGTCCAAGAAGCAGGGAAACGTCTACTGATTTTCCAAAATGTTTCTACAGAAATCACAGCCCCATATTTCCTTTCCATTTTAAAGAACCACAAGAGAGAGAGAAGTCAATTGCATTAGAACTCCTTAATTCAGCTATTTGAGGGGCCTTATCCATATATCTGCCTACCTCCCTACCCTCTCGGGGAGTGTGGTGACTCCACACAATAAACACTGGACTGCAAACCACAAAGTCGGCAGTGTGAACCCATCAGCTCCTCCACAGGAGAAAAATGAGGTTTTCAGCTTCCGCAAAAGATTCAAAGCCTCGGAAAGCTGATACGGGGTCGCTGTGAGTCGGAACCGACTCAATGACACTGAACACCATGACACCACCTACCCATCAGAGTGGCTGGGAAAATCAGCTCTTGATGTACATCTGTGTCTATGAGAACTGACTTTGCCCTGATTTCATCTTCTTCTACAAGATGTTGTCATTATGCGCCGTCGAGTCAGCTCCAAATCATAACGACCCTGTAGAGGGTTTCTGAGGCTTTTTCAAAGAAAGCCTTTATTTTAAAAATCAAGTAAATGAAACAGTAGCCATAGCATTTTATAGTTTTGTAGCTCGTTCCAATCTGCAGGTATCTTTAGACATGGTCTCCTTGAATCCCACTACCATGTTACGATGTACGGCTCACCACTCATGCCACTTTACAGAGAGGGCCTAGCTGACATCATTTACTCAGACAGCTCGGCTGGAGAGCTGGAACACCATCTCCAAACCAACGCTGCTCCTTCTCCACCCACAATGGTTGCCTTTCCAAAACAGAGAAGACTCATGGCTTCAAACTTCCTACAGAACTTAGGACAATGCTTAGTGAGGGCTCAGTGACCATTTATGATGAGAGGTGGGCCATGTGGTCTGTGGTCCTTGTGGCCTACAGGACAGTGTAGAACTGTCCCCCCACCTCCCCATATGGGCTTTCCAGGTTGTAAATCTTGACATGTACAGACAGCCTTATCTTTCTCTTGTGGAGGAGCTGGTGGCTTTGAACCACCGACATCTCAATGAACTTATGCTTAGCCCAAAGTGCCACCAGGGCTCCTTTTAGTGTCTGCAGGCCCTTGCTTGCTTTCCTCCTTTTCTAGAACCCTATGGGTACACTATCCTATGGTCCTGGTATGGTACTGTATGATAATGCACTGGACTGAAAGGTTGATTTGAACCGCAAGATCCAACTCACCAGCCTCTCATCAGAAAGCATACATGGGGTCCCTATGAGGTGGAATTGACTCGATGGCACTGGACAACAACGACATGTGTACATGAAAGGAGGATGAGCCTGGGATTTAGTACCCATAAAGTACAGACTGCGTAAGTCGGGAGGGTGAACACTGGCCCTCCGGAGCGCCCCCTGGCTGGTGGATTAGGAATGCCCTCTTCTCTTCTTCCTGCCCTCCCTCTGGTTGTTGGGAACCTCCTGCTGTGCTGAGCATGGCTCTGCTGATCTGGGAAGAAGGAGATAAAAGAGTTGGCCAGTTTCGTATGTCCACCGCCTGGTGGACATCAGTGGCTGAACACTTTCTTCCGCCTTCCACTTCTTCTCATATGCTCATCAACCCTGCTTACAACCTTTCCCTAAGAGAGGTTGTATTAGAATAAAAGGGTTCAAAACATTGACACTTTAAAGTGTTCATGTCACCAAGCAGTGGGCTGGACACAGCCAAAGGTGACATGAAGACATCTGCCAGTTTTCTACATATTCTTGGGGCCTTAGATCTTCTCAACTGTCTTGTCTTCCCTTCCCTTCCCTCCAAGTGCATAAGGAAGAACCACAGACACAATCTCAACCTGAAACCCAGACTTGCAAATCGCCTACCTAGGGGGGGGTACTAGCTCATGTGACCGGAAGGAGACAACAGTTGCCCAGATTACAAAGGAGGAGACCAGGGCCTCTGGTCTGAAAGCCATCACCTACCTGGAGTTGCCAAAACTCAACGGTGCAGCCTACAATTGTAAAGGTAGAAGTTTTGTTAACTTCTACCGGCTGCACGAAAGCTGCAGTAAACCCATGTTCTCTACACCACTGCCAGGTATTCTCAGCGCTGTCCTGTACCTTCTTGCTCAACAAGGCTCCAGGATTTGATAATAACAGACTTAAATGCAAAGAATACGCATGGCAGTTCCCTGGAGTCACCCACTGCTTTGTCTTTATCTTTGCAAGGCTGTTGGGAGCAGGGGCCAGTCTAGAAGACTACTGAATTGTGGGTGCCGCTCACTAGCAACTTGAAGCATTTAGCCCAAGTTCAGGTGGGTGGTTTTAGAAGAATCAGAATGAACGTCTCAGGGTGCAGGTAAGGATCACACCTAAGGGACACATGACTTTCTTATTATTTAAGACTGTATGGGGTTTCCGAGCAGTGGGAGGGGCTGAATGGGGGCAGAAGGCAGACAAAGGCCATGGTCCCCACAGAAACACCACAATGCGTGTGGTTGAAACACGGCCGGGGCACCACTGCGGCATTCCAATCTGCTCCCCCAGACTCCGTTGTGAATCACTGTGTATGTGTGTGTGTAGAGTAGCATTTTGCGATGGATATGGCTAGACTATATGGTCATCTTCCAGGAGTCCAGGTTTCACATATATTCAAACACATTCACACACACACAAGGGGACTCCAAAAGTTCATGGAAAAGTGGAATTAAAAGAGAAAGGAATTTTACCATGATTTTTTGAAGCATATATACATATGTGTGTGTGTGTATATAGACTCCTGAGGGTGTGGCACTGTGAGATAAACACTGGACTGTGAACCACAAGGTTGACAGTTCAAACCCACCAGCTGTCTCTTAGAAACTCTGTAGGGGGTTGCTATGAATTGGAACCGACTCAACAGCACTTAACAACAGATAATTACTTACTTAATATTTTTCTTTAAATACCTCATTTTGATGACTTGTATTTATTTACAAAGAAACATTATATGACTACTGAAAATGGAAGCCAGGATCACTTCCCAAAAGCAAGGCATCTGTAAAAGCAATATTAATGACAGTTCTGAACAATGTCACTGATTCCTGTCCTGAACTCTTGATGTTTTGGTCCTTGCTGAAAGGGTGAGTGAGTGTCAGATAGTGTTGAAACCGTACGAGCTCCTAATAGAGGTTCTCTGCATTGTCAGAAGGATTCCATGCAAACTGAGAAGGGAATGTGGTTTCCCTCACGCAGTGAGTCAATGTTACTCAAATGCTACGGCTGCGGACCACTGACAATCATAACCCCCTCCTCCCCCAAATGAAACGGTCTTCAGAACCACTAAGGACAGCCCCAAACAAAAAACCACACCAGTTTCTGTTGACTCTGGCTGAAAGCAACCCCATATATATGGGGTAGAACTACTTGATAGGGGTTTCAAGGCCGTGACCAGAGCACCAGGCTTCTCTTCCAGGAGTCTCTGGGTGGGTTTAGTTAGTAGCCATGTGCTTAACTGCCTGCACCACCTGGTGACTCCTTATGTCTACGACGACCATATTTACCTTGGGCAGCGACAGAGGAAACACTCGTACCATAGTGCAAACGAGGGAAGCACGAAAAGGATATCAGAAAGGACAGTTTTGGTGTAGCTTCCTTTATGCTAGTTTAGGAAAGGTGGGTGCATGGAACCTCCAAAGAACCTGTGGAGAGCAGAGACACAGGCCCAGCCACACCCCCCGGCCGGCATCACAAGGAGACTGTTACCTGGGCTGGAGGACTGGGTGACAGGTGAGCCAACTCTCCGATTCTGGCCGCAGCCCGCGGATCGCTGGAGCTGATCAGAACCGGAGCACTAATTTCCATGGAATGCCTATTGCTCACGGCCTGGGAGGACTTGTGTGTCACACTGAGCGCAGTGAAGGAGTGGCGTTTCTTGGCATTCTTCTTGCCATCAATACGCCGCTGAAATGCACTGACCGCTCCGGTGCTGCTTAGAGTGGAACTCGGGGCCAGAGTGGCCGCCGCGCTGGGGTCAGTGGGCATGGAGGCGTCGCAGCCGGACTCGGCACCTAAGCACGTCTTGTCCGTCTCAATTAGCTGCTTGGCGGAGTCGTTGAGCTATGTAAAAAGGGGAAGAAGTGGGGAGGGGAGTCATTAAATGAGTGTCACATTCTACTCCCAGCTCCCTGTACTCTTTCCTGGACTGAGCTAGCATTTAGAAACTGACAGTGGCAATGTCTTCAGATTGAGCTCCGGCCAGCATGAACACTGCAGTTAAAACCATGACAAAGGCTGGAATGACGTCTGTGGATTTGTATGTATTGAGAAGGGTCCTAGAGCAGATGTGGGGAGACTCATGAAGCTATGACAGAGAGCAGGGACTTGTAAAACAGATGGGGGGCATTTTCTGAAGGCCAGACACCATGACTCACCCGAGTCTTTACCGGGCTGCATGTTTCCAGCTGGCCAAAGAGGTGGTGGGAGAGGAACGAGGTTCCAGACAGAGGTGCTGGTCAGAAAAGCGTGACCATCACCCAGACCCTAAAGATGGTCAGAGAGGAGTGAGGAGGTCACTCGCTTCTGCCACCTCAGATCCCAGTAACCACTGAGTCCCAGCCTTCCCTTCCCCGCTCTGGCCATTCTGGTAGAGAAATTTCAGGCACCAGAATGTGTCTTTCTCACCAGTGGGTGAGGTGTTAGGCTGCTAACTGCAAGTCTGTGGGTTCAAACCCACCAGTCACTCCTCTGCTGAAAGATGAGGCTGCGTGCATCTGTAAGACTTTTTTTTTTTTTTTAAGTTTTTATTGTGAATTGAGTGAAAGTTTACAGGGCGGATCATCAGTTCTACATTCAACAGATCACACACCTTGTGTCATTACAATGATTATAATCCCCTCCATGGACCATCGTTAACAGGATTTCTCTCTATCCACTTTAGATTAAAAAAAAAAAAATCATTCAGGCATATATAATAATTTACACCTCCAAAGGGCACATTCTGCAAGCCTGCCTCCTAGCCGCCAGCTCTCAGTCCCTCTCTTCCCATGAATCTAGAGTTCTCAGCCACTCCCCGTTTCTATGTCCCCCTCCATCTCAGGTGTTGCTGCTTCTTTGGATAAGTCCCCTCATTCTGCTTTTGCTCTTCTCCTGAGATGGTCCTAGGGTCCTCTGTTTCTGGACTGTAAGATTAACCACTCCCCTGTTTTTGTTACAAAACTTCCACCTTCACAATCATGACATCACCAATCAGTCATGACAATTAGTCACTACTGAGTCACACAAATCTTATTTCCATCTCTTTTCACCAGACCCATCTAGAAAAGATGAAATTTATTCAGTGGGGACGCTTTCTTTTCCTCTATATTCTTAAACTAAACTCCCTCTTACATTTGTAAGACCCTACGTAGGGTCTCTCTCTCTCTGAAACAGAATGAACTTGAAGGCTATGGGTTAGTCTTGTGACTGGAAGAAAACCGGAAATGCGCATAGCTTGTGTGGTCCATGGAAGCCATCTTTCCAGGACTGGTCTCTGCTCAGGGCATCCAAATGGATCAGCTGATCTGACCCTCTGTCCCCTGCTTCTCCCAGCCATCTTCACTCATCTTATGAGAAGTAAATCATGTATTATCTTGAATAATCACCAAGCACTCAAGACATTATTCCTCCCCGTGTTTCGGAACCTGTTTGTTACTGTTTGAGTTATGTATCCCCCAGAAGACAGGTTGCAGTCCCAAACCTCAGTACCTATGAACATGGTCTTGTTTGAAAACAGGATTTTTGCAGATTGCAGTGACATATACAGCCATATTGGAGTGGAGTGGGCCCTAATCTGGTATTTGTCTAAAAGGAGAAGAAACGCTGAGATGTCCAGATTCAGACGGTGATGGAGAGAACACAGAAAAGACGGACACGTATCTTCACCACAGAACACTAAGGATTGTGGGAGACCACCAGAAGCTTGCACCAGATTCTCCCCAGAGCCCCCTGAAGGAACCAACTCTGCTGATGTCTTGATTCTGAATGTCTAAGTCTCCACAGAAGTGAGAGAATCAAGCTCTGCTTTTTTAAGCCACTTGGTTTGTGGGACTTTGGTTACAACTGCTCTAGGAAACCGGTATCAGGTCTCTGGGTAGTGCAGTTCACTACTTGTCTAAAGGTTGGTGGTTTGAACTCACCCGGAGGTGCATCGGAAGAAAGGCCTGGTGAACTGCTTCTGAAAGGTCACGGCCCTGAAAACCCTACGGAGCAGTCCTACTCTGACATATAAGCGGTTACCATGACTTGTAATCAACTTGAAGGCAATCAACACCAACAAACAAACTCAATATACACTGTTCTATAACATACAGAGGTGCCTTTTAAAGAGTTTGCCTTTGACAAAGAATTGACCCCAAATACTACTTTTCAATGAAGATGGGAAGGAGGGCTTGAATCTATGCATAACTTGTATTCATGTGGACTACTCCAAAGGAGCTCTGGTAGCATAGTGGTTACGAATCGGGCTGTGAACCACCAGGTCAGCAGTTCAAAACCACCAGCCATTCCGCAGGAGAAAGATGAGGCTTTCTGCTCCCTTAACGATTTACAGCCTTGGAAACCGTATACAGGGTCACTATGAGTCGGAACCGACTCCATGGCACATAACAACAACAACATGCCAGCTAAAGACGTATCTTTCTTTGCAGGGTTGCTGTCTTGCTGTGGCATTCAAGGGTAAGCGAGACTGGTCATTGTAAGGTTGGCAGTTTAAACTCACCAGGAACTGTTTGGAAACTCTATACGAGTCACTATGAGTCGGAACACACTCAATGGCACTGAACAACAACAACATGTTAGTGGAATGCTGGTGTGGTGATGTGAGATAAGCACTGAACTTCAAATTGCAAGGTCAACAGTTCAAACCACCATCTGCTCCTTAGAAACCCTATGTTGCTGTTGTTGTTGTTAGGGGCTGTTGAGTCCGTGTCGACCGAATCACGGTGACAGAACGAACACTGCCTGGTCCAGGGCCATCCTCACAATCGTTGCTACACGTGAGCTCACTGCTGCTACCATTGCCAGTCCACCTCTGTGGGCATCTCCCGCTTGACAGCTAATCCTTCACTTTATGTTTCCAGCTGTTTCACTTCATTTTAAGTTGTGCCCCATCCGCATATGAAGGTTCAAAAGTTTTATTCCATATGTGTCATCTCGGTCAACTCTCCTCTGAGGATGCAGCTCTTCCCCAGTTGTATTTTGAATGCCTTCCAAGCTGAGGGCCTCATCTTCTAGCACGGTATCTGACACTATTCTGGAGTGATCCGACAGTGTTCCACTGCTAGTCATAAAGGTTTTGGTGGTTACACATTCAGAAGCAGTCTGATGCTCCCTCCTAGTTTGTGAAAGTTCAGCTTGTCCACTGGGGGTGACCCTGCTGGTATTAAAGAACCAGACATAGCTCCCAGCATCATAACAACAGGTACGACACACAGTGGTGGGAACCCTAGGCAGAGTCGCTGAGTTGGAACCTACTTGAAGGCACGTGATAACAGGAACAACACTAGGACACTCGGTGACACTGGTGGTTTGGAGGGGCTGGGCGACGTTAACCTCATTGTGCTTGGAGCAGATCCGGGAGTTGACCAGCTTCAGGCCCCAGGTAGAATGAGGAGAAGGCTGCCTGCGTTTGTGTATCGGGGAGTCAGTGTGACTTTGAGTCCAGTGAAGAGACCAGAAGCAGTGTCCCCTTGGCCCCTACACCTAGAAGGTGATTTTTCATCCCACGTGCGTGATAGGGGGTCCCTTTCTTCTTAGACTGCACCGGGGCCTACCTAAAGGGGATATTAGCGGCGATAGAAGGAATACAGCAGCTGGAACTATTTATTGTTAAAACACAGTTGTGTGTACAGGGGGCGGGCAGGAAGAAAGAGTGATGTTAAAATAAGCTTGGAATCATCTCCACAAGATGGGTTAAATAAATGCCACAATGCTAGGTAAATTTCTGTAAAATTCCATTATTTCTGCCTCATATTCTGAGACAGTAACAGAAGAAACTGAGTAAATGCCAGCTAGCCCTGTGTGTGGACCTACCTAGGAAAGCATATAGTTAAACAAGAAGGAACGAAAGCAATTCCTTTTCTTTTTATCAAGCACAAGTAGTTGCAGGTATTACAGGTTATAGGGGTGATGGTAGGTTACAGTAGAGGAAGGTAATTTTTTCTGTAAGGATCAATAGAAAATATTTCAGATTTTGCAGCTCATACAGAATATATTGTGACTATTCAACATTCTCGTTCTAGTGCAAACACTGCCTTAGAGGACCCTGAGTAAATGGACGAGCTTATATTCCAACAAAAATTCAGGTACAAAATCAGGCTATATCATCTACTGACTCCTGAGCTCAGGGAAAATTCCCCAAGCAATGAGTGGCCCCACACTAACTTATGCCGGAGCACAGGCTGCACAGCTGAGCTCTCCTTTATTCATTTCCAGACACCAGATCCCCACACGTCAGTCCCCAGAGGGTCAAAGCCCTGAAAAGAGCCAACAACGGGATGGATGTAAGGTGCGGGACATGCTTGCCTTGCAGTGAAAAGGCTTTTGGTTCAGGTCCCTGAAAGCGTGACCACATCTGAGGCCAATGAATGAGGGCTGACTAGATCGGGAAGGTCACCTGGGGACCAAGTCTCAGGAGGTATGATGTCATATATTATGGGCACATGGTAAAGCCAATAAAAGACCTCCATGGAGCTGTCTGGGTAGAGGGAGCAAACATCTGCTCTTCATAGACTAAGCACTTCCACTGGGGATATGGAAACCAGGAAGATCTGGAACCTTGCCCTTTGTGTTTTTCCCGTCATTTGTGAGTTGTTATTTCAATGAGTTATAAGGCCCAAGAAACAAAAGGGCCCAGCACCCATTGATCTAGACCTGGGTGAATGTTTGTGACCGAGAGGAGGGCCTGGTACCTACTGGCCTAGTCCCAGGACAGCGAGGAGCAGAGAGAAAGGACTGTGTAGAACATCTAGGGTCTGGACTGCGGAGCAAGGGAAGCGGCGATTTCCCTGGACTGCTTTGGTCTAATTGGCACCATGGGCATGGTTAGCTAGAGTGAACCCTGATTACTTGGTTCATCTATG